TATATGTGCAACTGCTAGGTGAACAGTAGCATTAGATGATAGAAAATGTCCCCCAACCATTTCTGTTCCGCCTATTTTAAGTGCTATATAGTCATCTGGCTTAGGATGTACATTTCTTCCGTCCCACCCGAGTATCGAACCTGGAATCTTCTATTGTGAGTCGATAACCAAGCCAACTGTACTGCAAGACAAACGTATTTACGTTATAAACCCCTCGGCTGGTTCCGGTTAGGTTAGGTTAGGTTAGGTTAGATAAGTTAGGTCATATAACGTGGCCAAATGGCCATGTTCTCACGATCAAACGTAATCCATTATGTAAAAGTGGAATAATAATTAGTTTTAGCATATTTAATACATTATACACCCTTGTATACTAATATATCGTTAGTGCTACAAAGCTGCAGACACACTAAAAGCTCGGGAACTGTTAACAGCCTCGATGAACTAGGTACATAATGTGTTAACATATAATGAACAGTTTGTTCACAAGTACGAGATTTACAGGTATTGTATATGCCCGCACACCAGCCTTGACACCCTTCAACATTAATAGTCTGACTTGAGATACCTGACAAGCTTCTGGGTAATATGACAGTACGAAAGCGACAACCAGTCCTGATACTCCAGTTACAGCACCGCTCCTGTGTCAGGTCAGTCCACTACGGGCTCACCATAACCCGTGCTACTTGCCCCGCTCCTGTGCCAGGTAAGTCCACTACGGGCTCACCACAGCCCGTGCTACTTGCCCAGATCCTGCGCCAGGTAAGTCCACTACGGGCTCACAACAGTCCGTGCTGCTAGCCCCGCTCCTGTGCCAGGTAAGTCCACTACGGGCTCACAACAGTCCGTGCTGCTTGCCCCGCTCCTGTGCCAGGTAAGTCCACTACGGGCTCACCATAGCCCGTGCTACTTGCCCCGCTCCTGTGCCAGGTAAGTCCACTACGGGCTCACCACAGCCCGTGCTACTTGCCCCGCTCCTGTGTCAGGTAAGTCCACTACGGGCTCACAACAGCCCGTGCTGCTAGCCGCGCTCCTGTGCCAGGTAAGTCCACTACGGGCTCACCATAGCCCGTGCTACTTGCCCCGCTCCTGTGCCAGGTAAGTCCACTACGGGCTCACCACAGCCCGTGCTACTTGCCCCGCTCCTGTGCCAGGTAAGTCCACTACGGGCTCACCATAGCCCGTGCTACTTGCCCCGCTCCTGTGCCAGGTAAGTCCACTACGGGCTCACCACAGCCCGTGCTACTTGCCCCGCTCCTGTGCCAGGTAAGTCCACTACGGGCTCACCACAGCCCGTGCTACTTGCCCCGCTCCTGTGCCAGGTAAGTCCACTACGGGCTCACCACAGCCCGTGCTACTTGCCCCGCTCCTGTGCCAGGTAAGTCCACTACGGGCTCACCACAGCCCGTGCTACTTGCCCCGCTCCTGTGTCAGGTAAGTCCACTACGGGCTCACCATAGCCCGTGCTACTTGCCCTGCTCCTGTGCCAGGTAAGTCCACTACGGGCTCACCACAGCCCGTGCTACTTGCCCCGCTCCTGTGCCAGGTAAGTCCACTACGGGCTCACCACAGCCCGTGCTACTTGCAACTTTTTGTTCCGAGTAGCGGAATCTAAAACAACAACAACCTGACACTCAACAGACGCGTGCCAGATAGCAACCAGCCCTCAGGTCAATCATCAACCTACTTACAGCAGCAGCAGAACATGCATGCAAGTTGACGGCCGCTATGATCCAGTCGTGTGAAGATGGAGGCAGGTAGGCAGGTCACCTCTGTAAAGCAGGCCACGGAGCAACCAGTGAAGGTCACTGGTATGACCTAACCCGTGGAGAGAGTAATAAATGGCATAAAGCCTCTCTTTTGCCGGCTAAGGGTCGATCGCCGCGTTCTCAAAATGTTTCCAGAGACTTGGAAATTGGGAACTATTTTTTTTCTAAGACAAAGTCGTGTAGTGGAGCACTTCTAAGGTAACATATATATATATACATCAATAACTATCAATATATAAACGATGTGACCTCTCGAAGATTCGAACCTGGGCGATCAGGGATCACCTCATTGGCTATCCACCCCACTATCGATTACTTGAAAAAGTTTGAATTCTCGAAGGGGTCATACACAGTTTATAGTGATGTATAGCATGGGGACCATTCAAACTTTATCTCACTCATAACACGACGCTCATAACAGGGCTGATCTCATGGGAAATTTTATAATGCTGAACATTTTGGAGGATATTGATCCAAACCACTTCTGGAAAGTTACGGGCTATTCATGCCCGTGCCACCTCTTGGGTAGCTTAATCTTCATCATCAATTCTGGAAAGGTTAGATGTACCGCGGACAACGAGCAACGATTTTAAGCTTAACAAGCAACAATGCAGGATGGAAAACAGATTTATTTTTTACCCATAGTTATAAGTCAATAGAACCGCCTACCCGCCATAGACGTCCATGCCAAAACATTGCTGAATTTCAACATCCAGCTCGACAAATCCATCCCATCCCAAATCCTTAAGACGAATGAGCGGGGATGGGGGTAGAGAGAGACCTTCGACAATCCACTGGCTTCCTGTCCTCGTCGAGGCTATTAGAGAGACAGTTACCCACAGGTAAATACACTCATAATTGTGTAGTTCCCTCTCAGCACTCGAGCCTGGTGTTGCAAGCGCCCTCTCTTGGCGCTTAAGCCAGTTAGTGAAAGTTCCCCCATTCATTTAAACGGAATTGATCGATTAGTAATAAACTATTTATTTATTTATTTACATATAAAAAGTTCTTTCATTCTTGTACAGCCACTAGCACGCATAGCATTCCGGGCAGGTCCTTACTCCTAATTTTTTCCCACAAATACGACCCGCCATATCGTTTAACAACGAGGTACCCATTCACTGCTGGGTGAACAGAGGCTACAGTTCAGGGATTGCAGCCCAGTCGATCCTCCCCGGCCGTAGGATACGAGCCTAGGAAAAAAAGCGCCGAGCGAGCGTTTTACCCCTGCGCCCACATAGGTAACAAAGGTAAAGCATTGGCCTCATATCATTTAGTACCATTTGACAACATGTGAATTAACACGTGAACAAAGAAAATCACTAATGGTTATATTGGCTCAAATAACTAAATATTTCAGAATCTTTCTCGGTATTTTTTGGCATTCATCTCATTGTTTTCAATTTCAGCAAATGTTTTGATTGCAGTTTTGTTTTAAAAGTTTATTTCTGGCAAATAACTAAAATATGTTTTAATGTTTGAGCTTCGTGGCGCTGGAGCGTTCTTTAGTAGGTGGTTAAGGAGACACGTCAGCTGGTTAATGGGACATGTCAGCTGTTAAGAAGACATGTCAGGTGGTTAAGGAGACACGTCAGCTATTAAGGAGACACGTCAGCTGGTTAAGGAGACATATCACACTAAAATGATTTTTAATAGATCATGTAGGTGGTTAGCAGACAAGTTTCACACAGGGAAAACTAAGGGTGATCTTCAGTAGATGGTCATTGATAATATAAGGCCTTTTTGTATTTAGTCTTATTTGGACTGTCTTGTATCTATATACTGTTGAGTATAGTTAAGATGACGTGTTCTTCTATAGTAGTGTTGAGAAGATAAGCATGGGATTATGTTGGTCTATTTTTTTGTCACAAGAATATTTTATTTAAATTGTCAGTTATTTATAACTCTGAACTGCATTATGGTCATAAGAGCTAAACAAAAAGCAATTGTTGGTGCAAACGTATGCTAGATGAATGTTATTGTTTTCATTACTTTTATTAAAACACAAAATATATTTTTACTTCTGGGTACCTATTTTATTGCTAGGTAAACTGAGGAATCAGGTGAAAAAGTGTGCTAAACTAGATTTTTGTCCAGCCTAGGAATCGAGCCTGGGTCCCCTCAGTTGTAAGCCAAGGATATCATTTAAAATTTGTTCCATTAGTTTGACTAACCAGCTAATAATACTAATAACCCATCCTGATGGTCTCGCATCATGCAGGTTGGAATTAAATCCCTGACCATCCAAGTTATTGGACACCATTCCTTACCCCCATCCCATCCCAAATCCTTATCCTTTTCTTAGTGCTAGTCGTTGTAGTCCTGAGCTGGGTGTGATTCCACAGATACACACACGTATCAGGATGTCTCACCATCTGTCTGCACTTTTCTTTCTTAAATCGGGGATGTTTGGCCCAAGTTCTCTGATATACTATGTTTTGGCTGAAGAGCTGTTGGTGCTAAACCTATAACAACAGCTACAATTCACTGCACAACTTAATCAAAATTACGTAAACACTATTTAAGAAGTATAATAATTAATTATTAAATTATTATTAAGTCATTATGTGAGCAGAATATAAGGTTACTAGATATCTAAACTAAAGTACAGTAATCTGATTTAGCAAGAATATCTAGTGATAAGCTGTCATAAAGGAATAGTGAAGAGTCAATCTGAAAATCAGAGCATTCACCTAAATACACACACAAAATCACACTAACATGATATATATATCAATGAGAAAATCCACTAGGGCTCTGAGGTGACACAAACAAGTGGCAGTGGTACAGCAGTAGAATATGCAGCTGGCAGTGCCAAGGTCATGGGTTTGCTTCACCTCAGAGCCCCAGTGGATTTTCTCTTTCAACTAAATGATATACTACCATAAGTGGGACAATATAATTGTGATGGACAGGGGTTTGCTCCATCAAATACCCAATGCAGACTGATGGAACATGGATGAATTGTCTGTTTGGCCACCAAATCATCAAGTTCATTAAATAGAAAACCTACATGACTAGGGAGCAGCAAAATTTCATTGTTCTATTTTACCAAAACGATACAACCAACACTAACTCTATAGGATAATTGGAATAATGATTTAAAACATATAGTCACAGGAAAATTTTTAAGAATAAACAGCAACTAAAAGCGATTGCTAGCTCAATAACAAATAACATCAGATTTTCATGAAGAGAATAGCAGAGACGGCCACAGTAAAAATACTTGCCTCAAAAGGATAGCCACAAATATTTATTTAAAAATCTATACATCAGCAGGTTATCCCCATATACAACATTATACAAACATTCATTCTCCACCAGATCACAAGTATAGGTAGTATAGTATTGCCAACAATGGACAATTATATAAGGAAATATCATTTAATTAGCATGTTTAACCATTTAAAAAATACATGCACATGTACTTTCAATATAGACCAGTTATTGAGCAGCTACAAATGTTGTGCACTTTTCCCAGTAAATATACATGTGAAAATACAATACAATGGTTTCCTTAAAGTCAGATAGTTTCTCAATATCATTCATGGTATACAATTATCACTATATTTTTGTTAAAAAAAAAAATACTTTTAATAGCTTTAGCAAATATTATACATCAAGATAAGAATATTAAACTGCCTTAGCAATTACTGTCCAAAAGGTATATTATAGTCCCCCAACAAGTGTGCTGTACACCCAATACATGTACAATACACTAATTATATCAATAGCATACCCAGTTTGCAAAAATAATGCAATTAGGATAATAGTAATGACATTATCTGAAAAATCAAAAATATTATGGAACTGGTCAAAAGACACACATGGCATGTTGCTGATTAATCTAGAGAACATGAGGATAAGCTTGCTGTAAAACCATTCACGGCTTTTTCTAACAGATAATTTGATCGAAAATAATTTCTGTACAATGCAGATGCAGCTGTAAGGCAGTGGAAAGACTTTAAAGCAAGACCATAATGTTTCATATGAATAGGTCATGTTATCAATTCTCATATCATCTGACCTTTTTGAGCAAAGTTATGAGGCAGAGTGAACACATCACAAAACTTTGAAGAGATTATTATTTCAGTGCCTCCTTTGAAGTGTTTATTTATATAACTTTCCTTTCGTAACTTAATTCCAATGCAATATTATTAATAAATTCCATATTCTATTTTTTATATAAGAAAAGTATTTTTAATTTAAAGACTTTATTGCAGTATAGGTTTATTCCATAAATTATCCACTCAATTTTTAAATGGGCTCGACCACCACTATAAACCAAAACATTTGTGCAAAGCCTGATTTGTTAAATGTTCCCGTTGTTCAAACTCTCTTCTCATCAATATCCTTCTTAAGAACTCTCAAGATCTCTCCAGCTTTCTCCAAATTTTCATCTTCCTGTAAATAGACAAATAAAACTTTATGGGATAAGCCTTTGAGTTAAAGGCAATAACTAATGCTACAAATTTATTTTAACATCTGGCAATATTTTTCCCCTCTTTTTTGACATATATATATACATATACCTTCTGATACCATGACAATTTTTCTGGTACTATTCTGAGGCCTTTGCAACTATAAACACACAATTTATACTTGAGCTAAAGCTTAAATTCATCTCGCCAATTCAAAAGTAAACCGGCTCATTGTAATGTCATATCACATACATAACTTCAGTGGCAACTCATAAACCAAAGAAGAAAGCTTTTGGAGACGGGCAACTCAATCCACAAAAATGCGACACGATACAAAGAATCCAGGACGAGCCTAAATATCATTGCTTTCTTTTCATGCATACGGGATAGGTTATTCGTTACATTATCACATTATTGTGACTTGCACTGAATAAAGTCTGCTGCCATCAAACACCACCAACACCGTCAAACAGAAAGAAGGAAAACTCAACATTGCAACCCCTCCCACAAACTTATAATTTACAACTATAAATTTTAAAAACAATCTCCCGCGTCTCTCATGTTCACCCTCACTGATCTTAAATACTTCCCCTTTTCTCCACTTTGTATGTACTAGCCCTTTCTATCTTAAATTTGATAAGAGCTCTTACAGGGCAAATATTAAGTACAAATAAAGTTTGCTCTATCTTTCTGTTTCTCTGCACACCAACATTTAGGACAACAATTAGAAAAAATTATTCATAAATAAACAAAATGATCATAGAAAATATATCCATAGGTAAAGTTAGAAACAGCAGTGCTAGAGTCATGTAAGTAAATGTTTGTATGCACTGAGAAGGGTCAACAAATGGAAACGGAAGCAGCCACCATTCACAGCTTGAAAGGCAAATATGACAGTACTGTACCGAACTACAACAGCTAAGGTATAAATTCACACAATACGACAACTCTAGAGCTACCTCTTAAAAATACAGTAGAGTATGCAAGGATTGTATATCAAATGTAACAATAATAAAGGAAGTTATACAAAATATCACTTAAACAAAATAGAAACAAAACATTAACAAGATCATACAGCTTTTCCCTTATGAGAGACCTCCAGCAAAGTGTTCCAAACAAACTTAGGCAATATATTTCATTCACGATTATAAAGGAACAAATGTGTAACTTATTAATGTCATAAAACAAAAGTTATAGTATCATTTTATGCTCATAATATAAAGATTATACAAATGAATTCTATAAAAAAAAAAGTCTTAAAAATCTTCACAAACAATACTGACCTTTATAAAACAGAAGCGAATGTAGTTCTCGCCAATATCACCATGTTCCGGAGAGTAGAAGGCTGAAGGGGGAATACCCTGAAGCTTGCGGTTACGTGACAACCACTTAACAAAACGGAAATCTTTGCGCTCATTGGTATCACCCCCAACATCAATCTTGCTTGCTATATTAAGAAAAAATATTTAATATAAAAATTACATTAAAAATGTTTGAGTCAATACATAAGCCACTATTTTGAGCAGACATTCAATTGCTTCATAAAGAAAGTCTGCTGTTGTCAGATGGACTTCATGAGAAATCAAATAAACAACCCTTGCTTAGAATTCCAAACACAACTGAAAAAAAATATGTAACAACCCTATCAGTAAAATAACATAGAACACAGTAAATTCAACCCCCTTTAATATGTATATATGCTAAACACACTATATTTGTAAGTGAAACAGCTCTCTTTCATCAAGCTCTATACAATAACTAAGATACAGTAATGTATCAGCTCATAAAGCATAAATCCATGCATATTTCCTCATTCCCTTCTACCTTTGTGCAAAGAGAAAGTTCACAAGTCATAATCTCAGGAATGTATCACATTTCTACCACCATCCTTTGAGTGTAAGTGACCTCAGCTATGTATGTCCAGGTGTTCTTTTACTTTAAAGACAGCTATTACAATGCCAACCAAGAGTTTGATATGCATGTCTTTTGATATAGGAACCTCTCTATCAAGATGGTGAGCTGTACATGAGCAAAACAGGAAAATTAATTAAAAATCATTCAAACTACCTTACTTTCTTGCTCAACATCTGAAGAAAAAAATATGACAAGTGGGAAGGAAAGCTGCATAAGGTCCACATAGACCCTGGAAAATTCCCGAGGGCCTAACCCAAAAAACATGAGAGAACACTGCTGTTCAAGAATAATGAAACGCTTATTCCCCACCTGAACACCATCACTGGGGCCCACTACAAAAAAAACACAAAAAAGACCAAGATTGGTTCTTGCATTACTTCCAGAAGTGGGTGGTTCCTGCCCACCAGAACCTTTCCCTCGAACAGGAGACTGCAAAAAAAACTCCTGCCAAACCATTCCTAAAAGGAACAGATACCTACTTCAACAGCGGTCCAAACAAACTCTAGAAACTGTCAAAACACATATAGCAAGGAAATCTGCCAGATGTATCCTGCAGCACTAGAGCAGCCAACTTCAGAAAAGTCTGACCCGCTGCTACTATCTTGACAAAGAGAAAGTAGGCACCGAGTGCAAATCAACTACTGTACATGGCAAATTATCCCTGAAGCAGGGAGGTAAAGAGTTCCTGGCAGGTCACCAGCCTGAGGATATACAGAAAGCAGATATACACTCTAAAATTAACCTAAATGAGATGTTGCAAATATAAAGAGTACACCTGGATAAGTTATCAACAGTTTGCACTCACTGTAGAAACAGGAGCAGAGAGAGACTACTTCCGGAAGTGCAATTACTCTCTGCCAGAACAAAAGAGGAAGTGCACCCTTCCACTCAAGTGCTTGAGAAAGGCAGTAAACATCAGTTGCCATTTTCCCATGGAAAGCAAAGTATGTATTTTTTTGGCAAGCCAGCCAAGAGGAATTAGGGACGGACCCTGTACTATAACAGTAAATTGACCATTGACCTTTTAAAGTGACCAGTAATGTGACGACGGACCCTATCTTGAGGTTATCTTGAGATGATTTCGGGGTTTTTAGTGTCCCCGCGGCCCGGTCCTCGACCAGGCCTCCACCCCCAGGAAGCAGCCCGTGACAGCAACAGGGGCATAGGGTGAAAGAAACTCTGCCCATTGTTTCTCGCTGGCGCCTGGGATCGAACCCAGGACCACAGGATCACAAGTCCAGCGTGCTGTCCGCTCGGCCGACCGGCTCCCTTTGTACTATACCCTGTACTATAACAGTAAATTGACCATTGACCTTTTAAAGTGACCAGTAATGTGACAAGTAACAGTAACTAGAAACACAAATGAGTAGAAGAAACATGAGGAAATGTGTTTTCAGTGCAAGTGGGGAACAAATAGAATACACTTTAATTAGAAGTCATGCAGACTACCTTGAATCAAACTCTAGAAACTAGTATGACAGCATTAGAATGTCAAAGTATAAATGCACCTATAGAAGCAATGGAGCACTGTCCTAAGGCTAGATTTCATTCCCAACAGACTTGAGTAATACATGCATTACACACACACGAACTATCAACCCCCAACCCTTTCCCTAAAGTACAAGTGTAACCTGGCGACACAGAAATACAAGTGTAACTGAGACAAGAACTGACATTGACAGAAGGAGTATCTATATTATGTACTCAAAGGCAGCATTGTGGTTCTAGTGTAACCCATTCCATCCTGTACAGTGCCATGCTAAACATTATCTCTTGGTATCAAACCCAGCACAACTTACCAATGTCCCGCACATCAGCCAAGATGAAATAGCCACCCTCTGGAATTATTGGATTGAGTCCAGAATCTGAGAGAATCTTGACAATTTTATCACGTTTCGTTTCCAGCTCAGCAGGTAGTGACTGGAAGTAGCAATCTGGTGTTCCAAACCGTTGCATTTCTATCTCAAACCCTATAGCTACAGCCTCCTGAATAAAAGCAAAATAATTTATTAACAAATTTACTGTAGAATAAAATAGCAACATCAAATTTAGAAATTATCCAACATATTTTAAATTATGATAGGTGTGCTTAGCTTTCGTATTTTTTCAATCAAATTTAGGTAACAAAATTTGCACTAAGGTGTGATGGAAATTCGTAAAACTTAAAGATGTCATCAAATATCAATCAGTGGTGTACGTTGTTGCTAAGAAGTAAATAATATTCATATATATTTTTCTCATTGTTAGGGATATTAAGCCTAATAGGTTTATCAAGGTTTCACAGGGCCAACTGACATTCCCCAGGATGCAATCCATAACCCTTGATTAATTCTCTATTTACTGCTAGATGAACAGAATAATCAGACGAAAGGAAATGCCCAATATCTCTGTCGTGTTGCAGGAATTGAACCCGGAACCTTTCAATAATGACTCCTAGCTCCTGACATTAGTTTATCACTTAACTACTAAAACAGCCAATATGAATTGAAATGTCAAAACCAAATTTATAAGTTCAATCTCTTTGAAAGCACAACAAAGTTACTGTTCTAACTTTTCATATACATACCAAACTTCTCAGCAAGGCTAACACCAGCTCACCTGCACAGGTGTGGTGCAAGTGTACACAGAGTGCTGGTGAATTACTTGAGCTCCTTTCAGCAAGTTATTAGGTCCATACGCCCATCCAGTCTTCCAGCCAGTCACAGAGAAGGTTTTCCCTGCTGAACCAATGGAGACTGTGCGTTCCCACATTCCTGGTAATGTGGCTGAGGGAAAGATTGCAAGTTAATGGTTTGTAAAACCCTAAAATGTATGTATCCACAAGCTTATTTTCATGTCTGTTACTAGTACAGCACTTCATAAAAGGCAAAAATTAATTAGATTCAGGGAAGCAAAGATTGTCCTTTACAATGTGGTTGAAACGAACATGGATAAACATTGAAACCTTTGTATGTAGAATCTGTAAACTTTTAATATAATTACCCCTAAGCATTTTGATGTTACAAAATATAACATTACAGGTATGACCAAACCCTAAGTAATGTAAATTCAATTCAAATTTTAAAAACTTAAATTCATAAAAAATACTACAAGTAATTATCAAGCGAAGGTTGATAGTACATTATACACTAACCCATTCGGATGTGCTTGCACCCACTGTAGGTGATCCACTCATAAACTTCGTCCATAATAGCAATACTGTTGTGTTTTTTGCACAGGTCTGCAATCATTGTTAACTCCTCATGAGAGTACACCTGTTGGAAAACAACCCCCATACCATTTATGAATTTTTCCTTAGGCCTTTTCCTGCTAAAGGATTATAACTAATGATATTTCTATTAATAATATGGTATGTAGAACATTAAAAGTAAATTGTGCAGTTATGTGTAAGCTAGTAATTTCACAAAGAATACAGAGTTAACAATAACATAATTCCGATATATACATTTTAGTTTAGATTATACCATTGGCTACTAGTACCCAATGCATAATTTGTAAATGTTCAACAAAGTTTATTGTTTACATCAGAAAAAATCCAGCACTGAATGCAACGAAAAATCTCTTTCTGGTATCTCCCCAGTGGCTTCTAAAAGCTGTATCACTGAGACTGCTCCATTTTAATGAGTCACATCAATTACATAAGTTCTGTTTAGCCTACTAGTGACCAGAGTCATAACCTAGCTCCCCTCTCACAGAGGTGCAGGGAGCAAGTGATAATCTGCCACCACATCAGGATAGCATCTAGAAAAAGAAAGGGGATAGAAATTCTCCTCCCTGAAGCAAAAGTCCCATGTACTGAACAGCAATATTGCTGAAAGTATATGACTGGTGAACAAATCCACAAGGGGCGTGACGAGGGTTCGAACCTACGTCCAAGAGGATCCCAGACGCTACCTTAATCGACTGAGCTACAACATGGTCAAAAAGAGTTGAAACCAGAAGTTCTACTTTTTTTTTTTTTTTTTTTTTTTTTTTTTTTTTGAGATATATACAAGAGTTGTTACATTCTTGTACAGCCACTAGTACGCGTAGCGTTTCGGGCAAGTCCTTAATCCTATGGTCCCTGGAATACGATCCCCTGCCGCGAAGAATCGTTTTTTCATCCAAGTACACATTTTACTGTTGCGTTAAACAGAGGCTACAGTTAAGGAATTGCACCCAGTAAATCCTCCCCGGCCAGGATACGAACCCATGACATAGCGCTCGCGGAACGCCAGGCGAGTGTCTTACCACTACACCACGGAGACTGCCAAAACTACTGAACTTACTTGGATCCTGTAGCCTCTCTGAAACACAAACCAGGGCCTATTGACATAGCTCAAGTACATGGGGAAATTGTGTAAAACTCTGGTTTGTGTCTCAGAGAGGCTGCAGGATCCAAGTAAGTTCAGTAGAACTTCTGGTTTCAACTCTATTAACCATGTTGTAGCTCAGTTGATTAAGGCAGCATCTGGGATGCTCTTGGACGTAGGTTCAAATCCTCGTCATGGCCCTTGTGGATTTGTTCAAACTCCTGAAATCACCAGAAAAGCAACTCAGTCAGTGCAATGGCAGCACTAGCAAGCACCCATCCAGATAATAATAATTATAATATTATAATAATAATCCAGATAATTTGGGCGCCTGACAACTAGGTGGACAGCGCTTGGGATTCTTAGTCTTGAGGTTCCGGGTTTGATTCCCAGTGGAGGTGGAGACAAATGGGCAAAATGTTTCTTTCACCCTGATGCCCCTTTACCTAGCAGTAAACAGGTACCTGGTAGTAAGACAGCTGCTACAGGCTGCTTCCTGGGGGTGTGTAACAAAAAGGAGGCCTGGTCGAGGACCGGGCTGCGAGGATACTAAGCCCCAAAATCATCTCAAGATAAAAGAGATAATACAGTATTTTAAATTAATGCATGATTAAAACATTAACCCATGAATCAACTAACGATAATTGCATTTTAAAAAGATTAGGAATAGTTTTGTATTTTTCAAAAGAAGTCAATTAATTGAGAGATTCAAAAGACAAAAGAATAGTTAAGCATATATTATGATGCAAACTGTTATCAATTTCACCAACCAAACACTCAAAAAAAAGGGACAATATATATATACAGTATATACCTTTCCTAGTGGATTATTTGGGGTGTTAACTATAATTGCCTTCGTCTTATCAGTGAACGCATTCGCCAATTCCACAGGATCCAACACCCAGTCTCCTGATGATGTTACTCCTTCAGTTTTCTTCTGCTCAAAAAGAAAACGAATAATGAAAACTTGTAAAAGAATTTTCTGACATTATAACCCTGATGATGTACTGTATCATACTAATTTTCTTGGTTAAATTGTATATTCATACATATATTTTTAATAATTACTGGTCTCCTATTTCCTACTTTTATGGGATGAAGACACATCAGCCAAGAAAACAAAAAGAGAACATTTGTAAAGGAAAGATAACAAAAGGCCTTAGAAATTACACCTGCCATTCACAAAATCAAACGCTACACAGCATCACAGATAACAAAATCACCCACAGTTAATTAGTTGTATACGGTAGTATCCTATTGCTTCATGATGCCAGGTGTAACATGCGCCTTGTGAGCTGGCAAAGGGTATACAAATAAAAATAACCTTTACTCTCTACTAACTGCTGCTACATAGCTCCATATGGTCCTTGCCACATCTTGCTTGTTGCTCAACACTCAATGCACCATTTTTTAACACACACTCGGCAGATCCGACCAGCTCTCAGCCCTCTCCTCCTCCTCCTCCTCCTCCTCCTCCTACTCTTCATCCTACATTCAAATTCAATTTAATACACTTTCTTTCACAAGCATCTCATCACTCATTTGTTCAACATGACCAAACTACCAGTAACACTTTATTCCTGGAATTTATAAACTTTTTAGTCATACCTCTTTCCACATTTGATTTCCTTACACAATATATCCTCCTAACAAACACACAAGATGTGTCTGTATACAGTATTAATAGTTTGGTAATTAGACAGAGCTCATATCGCAGTGGAGAAAAGTTCATAATGTTTATGTACAGTAATATCTATATTCCTAATATAATTTTTTTTTTAATTTCTAAAAATACTTGCTTACAAAAGTTTTCATACACAGTACTTACAGGACGCAGAGGAACAAAGACAGGAATTCCACCAGCCAATTTGACTTGAGGAACATAGCAGTCAAAGAATGGTTCAATGATGATGACCTCATCACCTTGATCGACCAGTCCTGAAAAATAAAAGGTCATATGACACCCAATTTGTCATTATCAATACTGTATACCCAAGCATATCTATGGACCTGGACTGACCCACTTTTACTCTCACCTATGTCAAAAAGATGGAACAAGTGTACAAACTCTGATAAGATTTTGCATTGAGAGATGCCTGCTAAAGGGAACTGGTGACACCTTCCTGAAGTGGCTGCAACTGATATAGACTTACAGGTAAAACATCACTTTCAGGAAACTCTGTCTAGCTGCATATTTTGTGTTATAATGCACAAGCCTAATATGAGGTATAAATCACTCGAGGACAAAGCAAACCTACGAACCCATAATGGTAGAAAAGAGTGCCTCATACGCTCCTGCTGTGACCAGAACTTCAGTAAGGGGGTTGAGTTCTCTTCCTACCAATTTAGAATAAAGCTTTGCTATAGCTGCCACCAAACGAGGGTGACCCTGAAACACAATAACAGGTACAGTATCATACAAAACCTACTAAAGCTACAGCAATTAATAAATTGTTCTACTCCATTTATGTGATCCTCAAGGTTCATATGCACAAAGGTTAATTTTGGACTGTATATCATATACTATATTCCCTCTCTCAATAAATGTTGTTCTCATTCTTCAAAAGGTAATGGATACACACAAATTTATTTTAACACAAATTTATGATATTCCTTCAATAAATAACAATAAATAAGCATCAAAAACATTCATAGAAGAATTCCATTAAAATAAAAAGGGAAGCAGTCATCACTTTCCCTCATGGAGCAACATAAATATGTGAACACAAAAACTCATATCCATTCAGGAAGGAAAAAATGAGCAAAGCCAAAATAGGAAAGCAAGCAAACATTGAAAAAACAGCATTTACTAAAAATATATAAAATAGTGCTAAGTTGTACTGTCATATGAATGTTGCACAAATTGGCATTGTTGCATGGATAATGTTGCAAAATGTGGCACTGGCATGCGAATGCTGTTGTATGTGTTACATTAGTAACACCACTGTTTATGTTGCAAATGTAACACTACTGTATTGTGTGTGTTGCAAAATGTGTCACTGCTGTGCAAGTGATGCAAATGTGGCACCATTGTGCATGTTGCAAAAGGTGGCACCATTGTGCATGTTGCAAAATATGGCACTGTTAAGCAAGTGTAACAAAAGGTGCCACTGATGAGCAAGTGTAACAAAAGGAAGCACTGTTGTGTAAATGTTGCAAAAGGACAGTACCATCACTTTAAAAAGGGGGTACCAAAAACAGCTGACCTATAGCATTCAATTTACCTACATTTTTCCCCCCTTTTTTTTTTTACTGTAAATAATGCAAACAAATAGATAATAATTCCACAATTGCAAGAACATCAACATATTATACACTCACCCTAGTAAAATACTTCAACTAATTTACTCCTACTTTTCTAGTCTCGCATAAGTATGACCGTAATTTAATAATGATCCAACATTAACGTTTAGGGTCCCGGGTTCATTAACGTTTACAGTCGGGTTCGTTCTCAACGCATAATCGAGAATTCCGGGTTCAAATCCTGGGTGGGACAAAAATGATTGGGCATATTTCCTTTCACCTAATGCACCTATTCACCTAGCAATAAGTAGGTACAGTACTCAAGAGTTAGTCAGTTTATTGTGGGGGTTGCATCCTCCTGGGCGGGGTCAGTAATTTGAACTGGGGAGAAGAGGACCTCGATGAAATCGTAATGTGTATGAATACACTCTTGCTTCCTGTCCCCCGATACAATGAATTATTAGACTATTATTAATGACACAATAAACAAATATTTCTTTAGCTAGGTCTTACCAAACATGCCGTTTTTGTACCATATGTACGAACTCATCTTCAGTATACAAAGAGCAAATGTGATTACAATTTTGACAAGCTTTATGAAATTATTTCATGTTTATGAAATATGACAAGTAATTATGAAAATACATAATGCAGTACATTCAAGATTTGTTATAACAACTTTTGAATGAATTATTATACTTACTACTTATATATTTTCCTAGGATTGTCCTGAAAGCATGAGCATCATTCCAGTAATGGGTAATCACAGTAACACTAGCTATTATATCAAGCTAGAAGCAATAGCTGTGGTGCCAAGCAAGCTACACACTACAGTTATAACACACTCATATTGAATGCAATGACTAAAAGATATAATTGCTATTGTACAGGATGGGTTTAGCATAAGTAAAGCTTTTTTATAACATTCTGTACCAAAGGTGAAACCCATAAGTCAAGATGAAAGGATGAAAAGTGCCTTCACAACAGACAGTAATGAATAAAACACTGAAGACATGAATTCAAGCATTAAGTATGCTTATTTGAAGAAAACCAAGAGATTGTGAAATTTAAAAGCTCAACAAAATCTAGAAATAAAAGCACAAACATATAATGTATATCTTACAAAGCCACGAGTGTACTGATTGAGTAGAACATTGGTTTCACTTGTAGAAGCTTCAGCAAGGGCTTTCCTAACAGTTTCTGGGGCAGCAAAATCAGGGAAGCCCTGCCCAAGGTTCAGGGGCTTCACCTCTAATGCCAACTGAATGAATTCAACCCTGGAAAATAAAAATATTTCAATTAAAGAGCATAATTCCTTTACAAGTAGTTAATAAATGGTATACACTAGGCAGAGATGATGTGGAGGAAGACTCCATACAAAGTTTCAAATATAGATATGATAGAGCCCAATAGGCTCTGGAACTTGTATACCTCAACTGTTATTAGCAACTAATCTACACAAAAATTAATTTTCATAATACAACCCATAAGGCCTGCCTTACCAAACACTTTTCTCAATGCCCTGTGTCTTAGTTGCTACTGCTGGAGGAGATGTCATTGTGGACATGGTGTAGGACTGTTGTTTATGGCTGGTAGAAGATGGAGGTGTTATCAGGGATAAGCCACAGCAATGGTTCACTGCCGGAATGAAGTTATACGGGTGAATGCTTGTACTTCTTACAGCTACCTGCCGTATCAAGCTCAACATTACACTCCTGAAAAACATTTACAATAAGTATATTTTTATTTTCAAAACATTTCATATCATCTCATCTTCACATCAGAACCCCACCCCTTTATACAACTAGATGTAGTGTATTTTGTGTGATCTATAAATTTTAAAATACAAAAAAAATAATATCTCCAAACCCTGAAAGTGGGGTCAATGTGTGTTGATCATCTAGTGTAATGTGGTCATCATGATATAATAATTAATAATTCATTGTGTCGGGGACAAGAAGCCAGAGTGTATTCATACATGTTTTGGCTTTTTATTGATGTCCCAAGGCCTAATTACTGACCCCGCCCAGGATGCAACCCCAAGCTGACTAACTCCTGAGTACCTACTCACTGCTAAGTGAACAGAGCCATTAGTTGTAAGGAAATGTGCCCAACCATTTCTGTCCCGCCCGGGATTCGAACCCGGAATTCTCGACTGTGTGTCAGGAATGAACCCAGCTGTACTACCGGGATATGAAGATCAATGTTTTGTATCAATCTTTGAATACTAATATTGACCCTATTTATCCGATTTACCCGAGTTATTTACCTAAATAACTATCTCCCCGGTGCCCTCGACAGGGTCAGGGAGCTAGTGGCTGACAAATGACAGAAGAAATGTTGATCACTACCCAGGCCAAAATAAGAGTAGATATTATATGATTTTTTGTGTGTGTATTTTCTAAACTTTCTGCCAGTCTCCACATTTATTCCATTACCTTATGTTCACTATAATAATTATTTCTACATAAACTCCATCGGTACCAACAGCATTCATGTTTTTTTTTATTGCTTATACACTAAAAAGAATATTTATACAGTATTACAGAATTCCACTATGCATTCTTTTCAAACCTTAAAACCAATAATGTTCACATTTTCATTTTTCAGTAATTTCAGCCTTCATACTTTTAAAGTACAGTACTTAGTTAGCCTACTTCTAATTTTTTCTTCACCAATTAATACATTCATGTTTATTTACATTAACAAAACCAAAAATTTGTGTCTGTCCTCCATGTTTTTAAACGCTAATGAATGGAATTTCACCACACTTTGCAACAATTATCAATTTAGTCATGAAAGGTTATAGGCTATATGGCAGTGGTTTCCAACCGTTTTAGAAACAGCCCAATTTTCCAATACTGTACATGAAAGGCTCAAAAGGGGATTATGACAATGATTGAGAACCCCTCCTTATATATGGGGCTTCTGCTCCTACTTATGAATGTTCAAAGTGCCCCACTTATTATGTTTCAACCACATTCTGTAAATACTGTATAAATAAATAGCAGTGTTTCTCGGTTTGACCCAAGGAACATCGCTGATATGGGGTTTTAGCTCCTGGGCTCAGCTCTTCAGTGATGATTGTTGTATACGCATACATAACAATAACTTTGGTCACAGCTTTTGTAACCATTTCTCACGAAATGATTACCACTTTCTACTTTCAAAACATAACAATTCTCGAGACTACAAATTTAAGAAGGATTGTAAGAGACACTAGGAGGCCATCATAACCCAAAATATGTGGGTTTGACATTGGCCCAGTGTTCATAGGGGTCGGTAGAAAGTCAAGATCCTACAATGGAGACAAATTTAACAAAATAATGCAGTGCAATTTCTTGTCAATATTAGAGTATTAATTAATATAACTGTAATATTAAATGTTAGTAAATAGAGCAAAGGTGTAACAATAATGATCATGTACAGTATAGTGAAGATGTGGCCTCTTCTTCACCCCAGGTAATATTGAGTGCCTTAACTAGTTAATACAATATTCTAATTGACTTTTCTACACTTTCTAAATCAAATGTATTACCTGGACTTACCGGTATAAGGTCCTGGGAGTTCTTCTACTCCCCAAGTCTACCCCGGGGCCAGGTGTAACTATTGAGAGCTTGGTCTAACTCAATAATCAAATTGAGTTCTGAACTTTTAATGCACAGTTCTATCAAGTGAGAGATGTCAAAAAGATGCATACTCTTCTCACACAATCATTAAGTTAGGCTAAAGGGGATAGGTTATTTGGTGCTTACGTTGACTATACATACCATATACAATACTGTACTGTGTACACACAATCATTAAAGAAAATGTGCAGCACTTTGACCAGAAAGTGCAACGAGTTTGAATGCACACACATGGTCGTGAAGTGAGCTGACTAACCTTTTGGATACAACATAAGCAGGGCAATAATAACTATATAATAACAATAATAATAATAATAATAATGATAATAAAAATAATAATAATAATTGTATTTACAAGAAGATACAATGGGTTTGTGAGATTACACAAGATTTATATTTCTACGTTCTTGCAAAGTCACTAAAACGCATAATGTTTCAGGCAGTTTCGGGCATTTCCGTTTTATACTGTATTCATATAACACCCATGAAGCCTGTATCCATCATATCCACAATCATTTAGGTTAGGTAAGTATTCGTTATTCAGCTGATTACGGGATCACTCGTCAGAAAGAATGGCAAGTTTTCCATTATGGCTCGGTGTTCAAAATAACATGAAACACACACATTAGATATAAGCCCATGAGGAACAGGACTTGTACTCTTTGGGTATAGGCCCACAGGAGAGCTACAGTTTTGATTCGGTACCATAAAATTTAAATAAATGCTTTCTAATAAAAAAAAAATCACATATCAACAAGCATTGTAATGACATGGACATCTGCCGTTATAAGGCAGATTCCATATTGTACTCAATTCCTATCACAAAACAATTTATTTAACTTCGTACCCTTAATAGTTTGCCAATTTATTTTAAAACCTACCTTACTCATCGTAACCTAACCTTATCTACCACAGCCTAACTTAATGATATACAGTAATGATATTCTGCCCGAAACGCTTTGCGTAATAGTGGCTTTAGGCATTGTATGTACTAGCTCTATCTATAAAGCCAACAAACTTTGTAAATCTCTTTATGTATGTACCTTACCTAAATAAAGATTATTATTATTATTATTATTATAGTATTGTATATGACTTTCAACAAGTAGAAAACAAGCTGTATCATAATGCCTCTGTACTATTTGACCATATTGCCAGGTGTTATTCAGCCAAGAAAATACACTAGAACTTGCGTTAGTTAAGGTGGAGTCCAGTTTAACAAGAATCGAAATCACATAAAGGTTACAGAACAGTGTCTTCCCTTTGATACAGAAATTTCTGCTGGAGTAAATTAGGTCAAAACAATTTAATTATTAATGTATACAAGCACCTAGGTCATTCTTATGGAAGGGTCTAGCACGCATCTTCAGGTAATTCTGACAGGAATTAATTAAGAGACGTGCAAAATAAGAACCACAATAAAGAGTAAAATCTTGTCTAGCAAGTCACTCTTAAGAGGCAAAATGAGCCAGCCCATCATGCATGCTGTCAACACTGGCTAGTTAAGAAATAAACTAATTAAAGGTCCATAATAATAGGTTTGCTAACCTTTAGTAAGACCCTTGAGAAGAGAGAGACAGAGAGATATACCAGAGGCCCGAGTCAGAAGGAGCTCCAGATGGAGGATCTTACCGGTGTGGCGCCTGAACCTATCAATGGCGGTACAAGGCACCCGGGGAAACATATATTTTATTTTAACCCACACCACCATGTAATAATAATGATAATCCATAAATAATTCAATAATAATCTATAACACTTGTATTATCTAAATTAATACATCACAGTTCCATAGCTTGGAAATCATTCATGTACACGGAAAATCTAACTTCGTTCACGCACATTTAACACTTACATTATAAATCACGTCCACGATAAAATAGTAAATATATATATATGTGTGGTCTGTCGTTCAAGTACATACACACTAGACATCCCCTTGCACCAGAATGAGGCGAGTGTGGTGTATCACAGTCTTCCAGCTAATGTGGTAGAATGAATTACTTTAATATTCAGTGAATGCCACAGCATAATAGACGGGGGGGGGGGGTGTTTTCTCCCAGGAAGGTGTGAGCACGGTCGCGTTCAGCGCCAGGCTTAGTAGGCCAACCATAATTATTATTATTATTGACATCTTTATTGACAAAATGAATAACAATTTGGCCTAATCTGAGGATTTCAATTAAGTCTTATTAAAGTGGGGTTAATGCTGGTATTCACTGTCACGCAGGACAGAGGGTCATACACAAGACAATAGGTCTAACCAACCATAATTAGTGCCTTATAATACAAGAACGTTAAGGGTCTCAGTTGGATTCGTTCTCGATTCACAATGTTTAAATCTGGGGTTAGAGTCTCGGACGGGACAGAAATGACTGGGCACATTTCCAATCACCTAATGTCCCTGTGTACCTAGCAGTAAGTAGGTACACACGAGTTAGTCAGCTTATTATGGGGTTGTATCCTGGGTGGGGTATGTAATTCGACCCTTGAAGGGGGATGGGAAGGACCTCGATATAAGCCTTGCGTTTATGAATATACTCTGGCTGCCTGACCCCTGACACAATGAATTATTAATCTTTTTTTAAGGTTTTTGCAGGTAAGTGACTTGTTTCCTCCTGTGCAATATATGTAAAAGACCCCAGTTAAAAAGGTAAACAGGAGAGATAATTTTATTCTTCCATGTTTGATGTTATAATATTTAATAACAATTCATTTATGTCGGGAACAGGCAGGCAGCCTGTCCCTCACAGACTTGAATCAAGGTTCCCCCCAAGGTCGAATCACTAGCTGGCTCTTCCCAGCATGCAATCCCACAACAGTTGCCCAACTCTCAGGTACCTGTTCACTGCTATGTGAACAAAGGCTAATAGGAATCGTGCCCAACGACTATAATGTCCCACTCGAGATTCGAACCGGGAATTCCCGATTGTGGGTCGAAAACGAACCCAACTGTCTGTCGCATGGGCGAACAGACCCACTTGAGCTCCTTTACTTCCTATATTCTAGTAGTGGTTCGGGCAGTGTGTTAGGTGTTCTGTCCTAGTCTTGAAGAGGGTAGAATGTAACTGTGTTATCTGGCTGTTGATAGTTAGGCGAGTTTGCTTGCATCCCGTCCTCAGACCAAGTCTATTCCACCCAGCGGTCGACCCCAAAGACGCATTCATCAATTTTAACACGATGTTCATTCAAAATAGACCTTTTCTCAAATATAAATTAATATTGATATATATTAGCATACTGTGTATATCAAGGCAAATGGGGGACCGTCGGCGACAAGCCGCCAGCTTCATGTCTTCGTCGAGGCTACTAGGGTTAGTGGCCCTCAGGTAAATTACTCTAAAGTAAATCAGGTAAATTTAGGCATTGATTAGGTTAGATGTTTAGGTTCTGGTGGTGATTATTTGTACGTGGGTGAAGCATTTACAGCGTTATGGTTCGAACAGAAGTCATCAACGAAGCACTTGTTCAAGAAGTGTTCAAACGTCATCAATTGTGGGTCGTGTGTAAACCGTTTTTCATTTATAAACGGGGTTTGGCGGGTGCATGGAATGGCGTCTGGCCTTCGTTTATGAGGACGGGCTGTTGCTTGATATGTAGTGCTTTGCCGATGTCTCATCTATTGTCATTGTATCTGTTGATTATTTCACTGTTGTATGTCAGGATAATAATAATACCACAATTGGAGCTTAGACATCAGCGAAGCACTACATAGAGCCCAGTAGGCTCAGGAGTCTGTACACCAGTTGATTGACAGTTGAGAGGCGGGACCAAAGAGCCAAAGCTCAACCCCCGCAAGCACAATTAGGGGTGAGTACATATCAAACTCAACCAACATAAAGAGCCAGCCAACATTCAGTTACATTCTTATTTTGCCTTCATTGTTGATCAATGTAATCCTTTATTCTAGCCCATTATTCTTTACCTCAAGATCCATTGCGCAGTTGGACTTGCCATTATCAATTGAATTTAAAGTGAGCACTATTTTAGAGCTTTACAAATGTGTTTATACAGCTCTATATATTAGTGGTGTTTACACTAGTATCAAGATCTATGTTTATTACGATCAACAAGGGTGCCGGGACAAAGCCTTGCGGCACTCCACTTATAACCATTCCCACCTTCATTTTACTGTGTATCTATGTATTTACGTATGTAGGTTAGCTTAGCATTTTAAAAGCACCGAATCACTTTCTGTGGTTGAGTGTTCAATAAACCCTTGAACTATATATTTAACACTTCTCTAACCCTGTCCATGGAGGACAGAAGAAAATGTATATATGCTGGTTAGCATTGTAAATGTGTGGCCACGTCTGTGGTAGAAAACAAAAATTACACCCCTCTATGTTGCCTGTGCTTCCTTTCCACCAAGACTTGTTTTACCGGGTAACATAATGGACTTGGGATGGCTGTGTTGTTTCTAGCGTAGGTTAGACATATGAATGATTTTTGATGGATGTAAACATAGAAGCTGCCTTGTATAGGCCAATAGGCCTTCTGCATTTCCCCGATTCTTAAGTTCTTAATTCCATATACTCTAATTCTTCACTTTCATCTTTCCTTGTCAGTCTTCCATGTCGAATATCAAATGCTTTGCTATAATGCAAGATAAAGAATATTGTAATCTTTACCAATGGAGATTTTTACCTCCCTTTACGGAGTCGTTGGTGTAAGATTGTGTGTTCTGATATTCTGTGGTGTGAATTTGAATCCTACTTGAATATAGAACACGACACACAAGATAAGAAAAGTAGAAAAAGTCTGTGTTTGAAATGGTACCAAAAAGATTAGGTATGTTTTATTTACATAGGACAGTGAAATAAATCTTGAAATTGGAATACTTTATTTTGAACAGATAATACACAGTAGTAAAATTCCTCTTTGAAATACTGTCTATCTCAAGGTGTGACCATAAGCTAGAAACTAAGAAACGTCTTCTCAAATATGTTTAAGAATCTACACATTGACACGAAGTTTGAATCAGAGACATATCCACATATATATGATACATATTAAACTCTAAAAAGCCAAGTTAATCATATTACAAGCTAAATAGCTCTGGGTGATTATTGTTACCGCGATAAAAAATCCTTTATATAATACATTTCCAAACACTGTTACATGTACTGAACAGCAATATTGCTGAAAGTATATGACTGGTATTCCTTTAAATATGTTAAGTTGTATTTCAGAGGAAATTGAAGGAACAAACTTATGCTATTAATACAACTGGATGAGCACCTATCGGCTCATGTGTCAGTCAGTTTATCAACGTGTTCTAGAGGCCTGAGGCCTCTAGAACTTTTAGTATGATTTTAGGTAACGTTTCCCTTAAACCAACCTCTAGAACTTTAAGTGAAGTCATGGACATCAATAGCTGTCTCACCAGTCACCACCCATAGTGATAAAAAACGATCAATAAATATCCTTACATGACCCAAATTGAGTAATGGTCAGTTTTCCTGAGAAATGAGAATGCTAAGACCAAATCACACAAAACTCAGAATAAGCAAGTGTGGGTTTCTCGCTATATGAGACATATGACATTGTTGCCCTTGCTTACTTCGTCGGCGACGTCTTCAGTGGTGGTCGACTTAGCGGCAAAGGAGGAGAGGCAGGTACAGAGCAGGAGACCGATGCTGGCGGCCAGGGTGATGTAGGTGGCCCAGCCTACAGTACACCTGCTGGAGTAATACACACCTGCGTCGGCCCCGCACAGGTTCTGCACCCGAGGCGAGTCCCAAGCCCCAGGGAAGGCTGCCACACCTGCCAAGCTCAAGACACCTGTCAACAGCGTGGGGGGCAATGTTAGTGGTGATAGCAATTACGCCATTTGTTGAATTGGAGGGAACAGTGATGGTAGTGGTAGTTAGTAGTAGTGGTGGTAGCAGCATAGGGAGAGGGACGATGAGAGTGAGTAGGCCTATCAGATAAGTATGCATGTTTTACATATGGAGTGAAACCAAAATTCATGTGTGCTCGTGCTAAACACAATTATTAATGTAGAAATCTGTTTATTTTAAATAAACATGAATGTTAGGAATGCCTGTTTATATATAGGCCTACATCATTTTAAAGCTATACCATAGTCCGAGCAGAAAATTTAATTATAAATAAATGTCATTATACAACACTAACACCAAAATAAAACTGAATGCAATTTTTAACCTTGAGCTGGAGACTAACATCAATTGGCACCTTTGGGTCCACAGAATCAGGATCGAAACCAATTTCAGTTGATCATTTTTTTAGGTTAATGGGATTAGGCTGAGACTAACATCAATTGGCATTTAGTACTAGAAAACATAATTGAAATTTGATTATTAATCTCTAAAATTAATAATAACTGACATATCATAATTAATGAATAATTATTTGACCAACATTACAATAGGAAGCTAAAACTTTTATATGGAAGCTAAAACTTTTATATAAAATAAGTTAATTAAAATAATGTAGGAGCTTGTTGCATCATCCTGCACGATAAGAGATTAATGCACAGGAGCGTGACATCACGTTTCGTAATTTTCTTGATTTACCCCTAATTATACCGCATTTTCTATCACTATTTCTTGAACAGTTCTTTAGGAAGACACAAATGCATATACTAAAAGAAAACTTCGAGGGTATATTGTTTTGAAACAAGACAACTGGAATCATCCTCTGGCATCAGGACATATGTATAGAAATGTTTAGAAAAGTTATACACGCTGTTGACCAGACCACACACTAGAAGATAAAGGGACGACGACGTTTCGGTCCGTCCTGGACCATTCTCAAGTCGATTATGTTACTATACACGTTATATTACTTATCGACTATACACGTTAGTTTTCGAAACTGCGCCCAATTTCAACCTCTTCCCTCTGATTTTTAAACCTGTTCCAAAATCTACCACAAGGCTACATGGCTCATTAACATTGCCCGAAACTCTATGCGTACTAGTGGCTTTAGGTATTGTATGTACTACCTCTATCTTTAAATCTAACAGAATGTTTGTACTGTAACGCTGCAACTATGTATGTACTGTTCATAAATAAATTATTATTATTATTATTATAACAAGGAGCCTATTCGCACCACAGGGATTATACCTACACCCATGAGGCCGGATTAAGACTTTCATAAGTCTTAAGCACCTCGACAAGATACAGGGCCAGATTTGGTAGCATATTCACTAATAACACACGCTACCACAAGTATGTATTAGACAACTTTGCAGTCTCCGTGGCACAGTGGTAAGACACTTGCCAACAAACTGTACAATAGTATTGGATTAGACGTTGAGACGTAATTAAGTCTCGTCCTAATCACACATTCCGACTTTGATAATTCACTCAGAAGAGTGCGAAAGACTTTGTGTAAATTCCTTACATAAATTTCACCAAAACACAAGTGTGGGTTTTTATCCTAAATCGTCTGACTCTTAACCCCAATACCCGACAGCACTCTTGACTATTTTGGGCACAGATATTTCATCAAATCACTTCAGCATGCTGGGGCCGCATGTGCCGTCATTTGTGCGTCAAGCTTGAATGGTCCCCAAGCCAACATGCATAAGAAAATTTAAATTAAATAACTGACCTCCCTCTCCGCGTCTTCCTCAAACTTTCTGGCCTCTCCCCCCTCCACTTACCAGCTGTGGCCTGCATGGTGCTGATGATGGTGAACCAATTGCTGCCATTGATGAGGCGAAGACATGCTGAACTGCAGATGGCTAAACAGGACACCACCGTCAGTACCGTCGCTGACACCACCCCCACCAACGCCACCACCTGTAAGATAACCTGGCTGACAACTGTCGCTGACACCACCCCCACCAACGCCACCACCTGTAAGATAACCTGGCTGACAACTGTCGCTGACACCATCCCCACCAACGCCACCACCTGTAAGATAACCTGGCTGACAACTGTCGCTGACACCACCCCCACCAACGCCACCACCTGTAAGATAACCTGGCTGACAACTGTCGCTGACACCACCCCCACCAACGCCACCACCTGTAAGATAACCTGGCTGACAACTGTCGCTGACACCACCCCCACCAACGCCACCACCTGTAAGATAACCTGGCTGACAACTGTCGCTGACACCACCCCCACCAACGCCACCACCTGTAAGATAACCTGGCTGACAACTGTCGCTGACACCATCCCACAAATGTCACCTTCTATAAGATAACTTGACTGACACCATACACAGCTTCAGATGTAGATATGATGGTTAATTAAATTCCGCCTCTAAACTTCGAAACTTCTGTACAACAGGAGATTGGAAATTAAGAGGCGGAACCAAAGAGCCAAAGCTCAACCCCCACAAGCACAATTAGGTGCCTGTAGCGTAAGAGTAATAAATAAATTTAAAATCAGAAGAAGGAAGTCATTGAAGCGCAATACAGTACACTAATTTCTATGAAAATAATATTAAGGAAAAAATAATCACTGACTTAAACTACTGAAGGTTCAGAAAGAGGGGCTTAGGAGCTGACGCTCGACCTTACAGGCCCACCTATGGAAGTACACATCAATGGTACCAATTACTCGGGGATACCAATCCTTCCGAGGACAAAATATTAGATACTTTTTTGCAAAATTGCCAATATGGCTAGCTCCAAAAGATTGTTGCTAATTATACAGAAGTTCTAAAGGTAACTGGGTTAAAAATCACGCACACACACACACACACAAAACTGTCCGCTTTTGGCTCCGTAACGCGCAAACCTGTCGACCACAATGCCATGTTGTAGATAATTGTCTGAGGATCCAGTGGTTTCAAACAGCCAGACAGTAGGCTTCCAGTAGGTCCACTGAACGTTACACACCTGGAGACAACTCTGGCTCTAATACACTGCACTGTACACACCTGGGTTGGAGGCAAGTCTGATTTTACGGAACACACCTGAGCTGCAGGCAGGTCTGGTACATTGGTGACGTAGACGCCACAGTGTAGTGCGGTGCGGGGTTCGGAGCCCATTAGGGCACATCGGAGCCAGAGACCCAATGAGGCTCGCTGCTCCACCAGCGGCCCTCCTCGCCCTGATGGAGATGCGTTAATTATCAATTATTAATTTAAAAATCTAATTGATTATCTTGTTCTGTGTAACTTTGCATTGATCATAGGTTTGCAACGTAAAAGAACAATACATCACGAGAATAAATTTGATATCTTCTTTAGCTATTTCTTCGACTATCTTAGGCTACCAAAGTGGGAATATTTGTGTTCATGCAGTCTGATAAACAGACAGAAGTAATACTTCATTGCTACGTTAGACTACAAGTACATTGAGAGTTTACACGGAGCAAAACTGATCGAGTGTATATTGTGTTATAGAAACTTCTCAAATACCCAACATTACTATATGTGATTAAAAAAAAATTAAGTTCCAAGTATCTAGAGACGACTCATTCACGTCCAAATATTTCACAGAAAATGGTTTCTTAAATGTTTGCCCCCCCCCCGCATCCCCGACCCTTCCAAGAGTAGGTAAGCTACGTCATTGCTACACTTATAATATTCTAACGAATCCTATCTTAGCCTAACGAAACATGACGAAAAATATCAGAAATTTGTGTTTATATATAAATATCTGCTGTGTGAGATGTGACGTCATTCTGACGTAATCGGGTTGCATCCTGGGATCTTTTTGGGTACCATTACACAGCACATACAACTATGTATGTGTTGTGTAGTGTGCTACCACACTACATTCCATTCCCGCTCTGCTCGTCAAGCGGAAGAATTATCATCCCGAATTTGGTAAGTACGACCGTTACGGTGGACGGGCCGAAGGGTTGGCAAGGGACCAATGGGTACAAGGATGCCCCTCCAAGAGGGCGAAGACTTATGCCCCTCACGGTGGGGGCATCAAAATAAGTTGAAGGCTACGCCCAGTGTGTGAACCCTGAGGAAGGACGCCGTCAGGTTCCCTGCCTCACGGGCAGCCTAGCGGAGACCGGGCGGGTGTGGGGGGTCATGGCATGTATCACCGGGTTAAGGCCATCTTCCCAGGACTGTGTGTGCTCACACTGCCTTCCCAGATTCCTTCTCCTTTCCCTTTTCTCGTGTTCTCTCTCACAGCCATTATTCAGCATTCCTTAGTCTTTAAACCTAAACCAATATACCTTATTTTGAGGGAACTATGAAATTAAATTAAATTGAGTTTAATTACATTGATTTGTATAGTTTTTGGAGAGGGAGAGAGAGAGAGAGAGAGAGAGAGAGAGAGAGAGAGAGAGAGAGAGAGAGAGAGAGAGAGAGAGAGAGAGAGAGAGAGAGAGAGAGAGAGAGAGAGAGAGAGAGAGAGAGAGAGAGAGAGAGAGAGAGAGAGAGAGAGAGAGAGAGAGAGAGAGAGAGAGAGAGAGAGAGAGAGAGAGAGAGAGAGAGAGAGACAGAGACAGAGACAGAGACAGAGAGAAAGAGAGAGAGAGAGAGAGGGGGGGGGACAGGGACAGCCAGGGGGGGGGGAAGGGAGGAGGGGCGAGATATGCCTTGCAAACAATTCCAACCAGGTTCGACCCCCGTCGTTTCTGGGTACCTCAATGACTAGGTCCGCTCTTGTTCACTGAGCAGTAATTGGGGACCCGGCTGTGAGCCGGGTCGTATTTCAGAGAAAATTAATTTTTTATACGAGCTCTGTGAAGGCTAAGTTCTAGCCTACCAACAAGTCAGAAACAATAAAAAAAACAAGGAAAGAGGAAATGGGAAGGAGTGTTCAAAAGAAGGTAAAAGTGGGAGGGGAATGAGAAGTAAACGGGATGGGAGGGGAAGAGAAGGAAAGAGAGGGCAGGGGAAGGCTGCTGACGCTGCTAATGAAAGAGCGGATAAACACGACTTAGAGGGAGGGAGTGGAAGAGGTCGACGGGTCAGGAAGGAGGGTGATGGGAGAGGGCCGGACAGGCACGCTGAGTCAGGGGGAAGGGGGAGTTGCCTCCCGGTGTGTACCAGAGGTGAGGGTGGGTAAGGGATGGCTGGGTAAGAAAGGAATGGCACGAGGGTCGAGGTAGGGAAGCAGATGTTCTAAGAATGGGGAGCCGAGGCTGAACTAAACAGGTGTACAGCAGTGCAAGTTTCATCTACCCTGCCGCACACCTGTGCACTCCAGCCGGAATCGTAACGATTTCTATAAAGTGTTACGAATAAAGCCTCTAAATCTATATCTAACATAGGTGAGGGAGGAAACAGCGACCAAGCTGAGGCATGAGAGCGTGTACAGATGGGCGGAGATAGCCTCAACTAACCGTCCTCATAAACAAGTCGGCTTTTTGAAGCCTAAAAGACCGTCTGACTCTCAGAGCAACACACGGCCTGTGTAGGGCCACACCTTCAGCACTGGTTGTTATTTGTCAACTGTTTAGCGAGTCAAATATAATTGAGATAATTTAATATGTACCCCATACCAATCCTGCGGGGTAAAAAAAAACAAAAAAAAAACTCTAAAAAGCCTCTCTCTAAAACCTCTAAAAAGGTTAGAGGTACATATAATGGGCTCTGGAACTGAACCCCAAAATTCATTTAGCTAAATTACAGTTTAATTATTTATAATGAATTATTGTAATCAACAATGGGTTCGAAAACGACCTCAAGTACAATCTCTAAGCTGCATATGTAAGCTCAGCAACTTACATATGCGGTGAGCACAAAAGGCCCACCAGACAGTGCGACACAGTGGTTGCCAGGATCAGGTTGGGATTACCTTTACCTGTGGCAGGTGGCGACCCTCCCAATCCTGAGCACTCCAGGTGCAAACTCTGCGAGCAGGAAATTAGTCATGATCTCACACACCACATTACTGAATGCCAATTCAAAGACCTTTCAGACCTGCCGGCATGAGGTAACTGGAGCTTTGCAAAGTACTATATTAATTCCTGAGGATATATCTTCATCAGTTACAGCCCCGCTCCTGTGCCAGGTAAGTCCACTACGGGCTCACCATAGCCCGTGCTGTGGTTACCTTGCGATGATTTCATGGCTCAACGTCTCTGAGGGCTCGGTCCTCGACCAGGACAGTAGAGCTACTTTGAACTTTTGTTCCGAGTTGGTGAATCTAACACAACTGAGGATATCCTCAAATGCATCCAAAGTTTGCCAGTGCAGACTATACTTAACACAAGGCCCTGTATATAAACATTGTGTGTGATGGGATCTTTTAGCATCACGTAGCTAAATACACTATGTATCTAGGGGAGCATTTAGTTCATTTATTATGCACCCCATACCCTCTAGGACAGCTGCATCATTACTGTTATATTCCAGGACAGCTGTATCATTAGTCATATTCTAGGATAGCTGCATAAGTACTGTCATAGTCTAGGGCAGCTGCATAAATGCAGATGTACCTAAATTCTGCAGATGTTCCTGCCCGAAACGCTGCGCGTACTAGTGGTTTTTACAAGAGTGTAAATACTGTACTATGCTATGTATTCTCACAAACCCAATGTACCTTCTTGTATATAAATAAATAAATAAATAAATAAATAAAAAAGTGTTAATTAAAAAGTGCATATGTAAGTTACGTTACGTCAAGATAAATATTTGATTAAAGTTGACACATAATTTACGATACACGTAACTAGCTGGCTAAAATATGTAGCAAGAAATATTATCAACTTATTCAAATTACTAAATTATTTGTAAACAGTGTACATAGATACAGAGCTATAAATGAAAACAAAAAAAAATAAAATTTGTAATCTTTCAAATACAAAATAGTTCAAAGAGGAGCAGGCCATTGGATAATTAACTGTAACGAGAACTGTTAGCTTAAGAAAAAAAATATTATCATAAGACATTATACACACAGGTTTATAGAACAGATGGCTATACCTCTACCACCCTTACCGGAAGCCTGTTCCTGCAGGCTGTTTGTGAAGGTGTGGTGGTGTTGCCCATACGGGGTGTCAAGAGCCAGGGGTCGAGGCGTCGTCGGGGCGGTGGCCTGGGGCGCCAGGAGCCACGAGGGGGAGAGGTTGGCGCCCAGGAGAGCCATGACACACGCCACAGTCCAGAGCAGCCACGCCAGCCACCAGCGGGTCACGATCACCACCACGCCTCCACACATGGCCACTCACACACGTCTGCCCGTGCCTGGCAGGATGCGTTATGTAAATTAGTACAGCGCTCTGAACACGGTGGGAGGGCAGGTTAGGTACTGGTGATACGATAACACTTGACCAGCCGTCTATGTAGAGAAATGATCTGTATCTCGACAAACTCTATGTCTGGCTCTTGACTTCACTAGTATAGTGGTGTTAAGATAGGCATAGGTCAACCTGATAGTCGTGTCTAGTTCACCCCCCACCACCACTCCATTCCCCCGTCCCTCCGCGCTACAGTGGTCGTCCCCCGCTACGCTGATGACTCCTTCCCCCTCCTCTCGCTACAGTGGTCGTCTCCCGCTACACTGATGACCCCTTCCCCCTCCGCGCTAGTGGTCGTCCCCCGCTACACTGATGACCCCTTCCCCCTCCGCGCTACAGTGATCGTCTCCCGCTACACTGATGACCCCTTCCCCCTCCGCGCTACAGTGATCGTCTCCCGCTACACTGATGACCCCTTCCCCCTCCGCGCTACAGTGGTCGTCCCCCGCTACACTGATGACTCCTTCCCCCTCCTCCCGCTACAGTGGTCGTCCCCCGCTACACTGATGACTCCTTCCCCCTCCTCCCGCTACAGTGGTCGTCCCCCGCTACACTGATGACTCCTTCCCCCTCCCGCTACAGTGAGCTGCACCAGGAGAGCGAGAGACAAGGCCAAGACTGAGGCAGGATACAATGTAATTATGACGCATCACCAGACTTGAAGACCTTCTCTCATTGTTCTGTTTACATTTTGGCCGCCCGGAGCTAGGCTTCTGAGCCCTTAGTGTTGCTGCCTGCTCTTACTAATCAAGTGTTTCTTCCTCTCTCTTACTTTCTCTCAAGGTTTCTTCCTCTTTCTTACTTTCTCTCAAGGTTTCTTCCTCTCTCTTACTTTCTCTCAAGGTTTCTTCCTCTTTCTTACTTTCTCTCAAGGTTTCTTCCTCTCTCTTACTTTCTCTCAAGGTTTCTTTCTCTTAGTGTCGCTAGTTTCGTCTAAATTTTATTCCACTGTCAGATTCGCTATCTATCAGATTCTCTGTCTGTCTGCACAGTCCAGAGAAAAAGTTTGATTCCACCACCCACATGTACAGCTAAATTTCCAAAAAATATAAACAGTATGATTTGAATGTCCTAGACCAGGGAGGACGGGGGGACTGGCTGCCTTTTTGGTGACTCAGTGAAGCCTTTGAAAGTAATTTAAATTAATATTTCCCCTCTGGTGCCCTCTCGACAAATTCAAATAGGCCTATAGCCCTATTTTTACTTATGTTTTTTGCTTTTATTGCCTATAATTGATTTATTAGTGCGCTGTGATAAGTGATAGGAATAGTGAGTGATGGATGACTGTGGTAGTTTACTTGGTGACGGGTGACAGTGGTGGTCTACCTGGTGATGGATGACAGTGGTAGTCTATCTGGTGACGGGTGACTGTGGTAGTCTACCTGGTGACGGGTGACAGTGGTAGTCTACCTGGTGACGGGTGACAGTGGTAGTCTACCTGGTGATGGGTGACAGTGGTGGTCTACCTGGTGATGGATGACAGTGGTAGTCTACCTGGTGACGGGTGACAGTGGTAGTCTACCTGGTGATGGGTGACAGTGGCAGTCTACCTGGTGATGGGTGACAGTGGTAGTCTACCTGGTGATGGGTGACAGTGGTAGTCTACCTGGTGATGGGTGACAGTGGTAGTCTACCTGGTGATGGGTGACAGTGGTAGTCTACCTGGTGATGGGTGACAGTGGTAGTCTACCTGGTGATGGGTGACAGTGGTAGTCTACCTGGTGACGGGTGACATTGGTAGTCTACCTGGTGATGGGTGACAGCGGTAGTCTACCTGGTGACGGGTGACTGTTGCCAACCATGTGACGGGTGACAGTGTTGCCAACCATGTGATGGGTGACAGTGTTGCCAACCATGTGATGGGTGACAGTGTTGCCAATCATGTGATGGGTGACAGTGTTGCCAACCATGTGATGGGTGACAGTGTTGCCAACCATGTGATGGGTGACAGTGTTGCCAACCATGTGATGGGTGACAGTGTTGCCAATCATGTGATGGGTGACAGTGTTGCCAACCATGTGATGGGTGACAGTGTTGCCAACCATGTGATGGGTGACAGTGGTGCCAATCAAGTGTGGTAAACAATCACAAGACAACAATTCCACAAACAATTAAGTGACGTCAACTCATGACATTTTTCAGAATATTGTTAATAACAAACTCATTTCACTAACGCGCTTGAATACATCACACAAACTTCTCTCCCAACAACATGCATCTGAATGACATTTATTCTTCGAGTATTGGACTTAAATATCTATAAAATAACATACAAAACAATAATAAGTGAACACAAAGCGGAGAACACAAAATAACACCCTCACCCTCGGCTTCCCAGGGAGAGACTGGGGACCTCCAGGCTAGGAAATATCAGGTTGCGTCTCGGGGTAAGGATGGAGTGCGTCGACCATGACGTCATCATCGACACATCACGTTGGGAACATTATGCGCCCAGATGTAAACATTAATCTTCGCTTGAAGGGGATAAACAGGAGGCAATTAAAACATGTTAATTAAAGGAGTGACGAGAGAGGTTTCTTGAATGGAGATGTGTGTGTGTGTGTGGGGTGATGGAGGGGGAACACGCAAGACTTGTAGTCAATACACACGCCTCCTTCCCTTCCTTACCTTGCTGTTTCAGGAAAAAATTGAGTGACTGAAAAAAAAGCTGATTTTGTTTGCTGGATGGGTGATTCCTTTCACACACACAAAAGGATATCTTTCATTTGTGAATTATATCTTCAAGTGTGGGCGTGGGCGTCAGAGAAGGTAGGAGATTGCAATACGTCTTACTCATTTCCTGCATTTAAGAAGCTGAATGCTAAGCTTGCAATTAGGATAGCCAGAGATCCCCATTACAATGATATTGCTAAGAAAAAACTGAGTTCTGTGCTACTTTCAGGGGGAAACAGGAGAAGCAAAAAATGGCATCACAGATCAGTCTGCTACCTCGAAGAGCTTCACCTGCTTGAGCAAGCCCGTGAGCTCCTGCCTGTAGAGAGGTTACCTCTCTGGGAGGATGACTCATGCAAGATTATCATCAATGAAATGGCAATGAAAAAATCCAACATGATACCACAAGAAATGAGGCACAAGTATTTCGAGGAAATTTATAAAGAAGCCGGAGATGAACTAGATCAAATCTACACTGACGCGTCATCTAATCCTGTCATTGGCAGGGCCGGTGCAGCATTCACGGTAATCAAGGATAATACTTTCCAACGCAGAAATGAAGAAAAAGCACGTATTGAGAACTATGCTTCTTCAACGCAAGCAGAGCTAACTGCCATTGTTATGGCGTTAAGGTTTCTTGAAAGGAACACTAATGGTGCAGTGATTTGCACTGAGTCAAAAGGAGCACTGCAAAGCCTAAGTAAAAATCGGGCAGAAAATCTTGCAATAGTCGCTGAAATTAAGAGAGCTGTGAGAGTACTTACCAATCAGGGAAGAGTCATCAAGTTTCTGTGGATCCCCTCCCATGTTGGAATATGTGGAAATGAACGAGCAGATGTGCTGGCTGCTGAAGGAGACCATATTGAATACTTCATACCCAAGACTCTACTACAAATTAGAGGTATTGTCAGGCAACATCACCGTGACAAGGTAACTGAGGAAAGGAGGATAGAAGCACAAACCAGATACGGAATGGAAACAACTGTTGATCAACGAAGTTGCAGAATCTGTGGTGAGAGTGATGGACACCGCCTTGACCACTATCTACGTGAATGTGAACACCTGAGAGAAATCAGAAGTATGTGTGGAATAATAAACCCCACATTGTTTGAGTTAGGAAAACACTATTTGTCAAATATTGATGCTGTTCTTAAAAGATTTTCCCATTTTGCATCCGCAAGATAACGTAAGCTTCTAAGGGTTGACAGATGTTAATCTTCTTGTTTGAGGAGCTGTTCACTTGAGACAGTTAAGCAGACAGTACCCAGACCCAGCTGTGTCTGGGTACAAGTGACAGGATGAACAACCCAGCGGGTTTTCTTCCTTTTGGGGAGTGTTGTACATGCGGCTATGGCGGTATGTCCACTCACAAGATGAGTGGCGCTGCCCAATAAACTCGCCCCTCGGGGCAAAATTTAAAATTTGCATTCTCAATTAAGCTTATCAAGGTCAGCATTTTCTAAGTCCAATTATTCATACCATTCAAGCTTAGACATTGCCTTAAACAACATACTTTCGACCGGTATCAAGATAATCCAATTCACTCACAATGACATTTGTTCTGACTTTCTATAATAGCATCAGACAAATTGGTAAGTGGGATTTCAGAGGATATAATATGCTCCAGAAGCTGTTCAGAATACTGTCTTGAGATTATCTTGAGACGATTTCGGGGCTTAGTGTCCCCGCGGCCCGGTCCTCGACCAGGCCTCCAGCCCCAAGAAGCAGCCTGTAACAGCTGTCTAATTCCCAGGTACCTATTTACTGCTAACTAACAGGGGCATCAGGATGAAAGAAACATTTTGCCCATTTGTCTCCGCCTCCACCGGGGATCGAACCCGGAACCTCAGGACTACGAATCCGAAGCGCTGTCCACCCAGCTGTCAGGCGCCCAATAGTAATTATAAAGCCCAATACACTACCAGACTCTCTCTGCCGAGTAATATTAATTTAGAATCTGGATAAATAGAATCCATTGAGTTAAAAACAACTACATGATATTTGTCAGGATTGAACGTTAGATTGTATTCAGAACTAATTTTTTTTACTGGTGTGGCAACTGCCACGTCACACAGATGTGTCGACCACCACGTCACACAGGTGTGTCGACCACCACGTCACACAGGTGTGTCGACCACCACGTCACACAGGTGTGTCGACCACACGTCACACAGGTGTGTGTCGACCACCACGTCACACAATGCAGACACAGGAGCAATCAGTAAAGTGTTGCCTCTTATAGGATAATGTAATCACGATGGGCGTGGCAGGAAGCTTGTGGGCGTGGCAGGAAGCTTGTGGGCGTGGCAGGAAGATAGTGGGTGTGGTAGAAAGGGTGGTGGGCGTGGCAAGAGGATGGTGGGCGTGGCAAGAGGATGGTGGGCGTGGCAAGAGGATGGTGGGCGTGGCAAGAGGATGGTGGGCGTGGCAGGAAGGTTGTGGGCGTGGCAGGAGGGAGGCATAGGGTCAGTCTTGAGGAAGTTGAGGAAGCGAGTGTCTTATTTTCACTTGGGTTAAATTAGGAAAGTATTAGTCATGAGTTAGCTAGCTTCGGGGACAGGAAGTCTGTGTATATATATATACTTTAGTATTGTAGTTTTACCCTCCTCCCCTTCCTGGATTGTGGATCGAGAACGAAGCCAACTGTGTTATCTCGTCTACTAGGAAATGGCAGCTTAGGCGAGGCTCACTATGGAACAAGAGACAGGGTAAAGGAGACATCGAACAAGAGGCATGGAACCACAGACAGAAGAGATGACATTGAACAAGAGGGAAGGAACAAGAGACATACAAAGTAGAATGGAACAAGAACTTGGAACAAGAGACACATACAAAGTAGAATGGAACAAGAACTTGGAACAAGAGACATGTAGCAAGTGGCACGGAATCAGAGACTTGGAACAAGGGGCACGGAACAAGAGACATGGAACAAGAGACACGGAACAAGGGGCACGGAACAAGAGACACGGAACAAGGGACACGGAACAAGGGGCACGGAACAAGAGACACGGAACAAGAGACATAGAACAAGGGGCACGCAACAAGGGACACGCAACAAGGGACACGCAACAAGGGACACGCAACAAGGGACACGCAACAAGAGACACGGAACAAGAGACACGGAACAAGAAATATGGAACAAGGAACACGGAACAAGGAACACGGAACAAGGAACAGAAGCAGTGTGAGAGGAAGAATGGCGTGACTATAACGACTAATGGCATTACCATCCCCCGGATCTCTAACTCCCTGCATGGGTAATTATGGAGGAAAAATCCTCACTGGCTGTGTGTGTGGAACAAGGTGTGTGTGTGTGTGGACATGGTGTGTGGAACAGTGTGTGTGTGTGTGTGATGTGTGTGTGTGTGTGTGTGGCATTGTGTGTGTGGATGTCTAACTCCCTGTCTGTCTGTGTGTGTGTGTGTCTGTCTGTCTGTCTGTCTGTCTGTCTGTCTGTCTGTCTGTCTGTCTGTCTGTCTGTCTGTCTGTCTGTCTGTCTGTCTGTCTGTCTGTCTGTCTGTCTGTCTGTCTGTCTGTCTGTCTGTCTGTCTCTCTCTCTCTCTCTCTCTCTCTCTCTCTCTCTCTCTCTCTCTCTCTCTCTCTCTCTCTCTCTCTCGTTTTCTTTTGATCTTTCTCTGTATCTCTCACTTTTTCTGATCTTTCTCACCTTTTCTGATCTTTCTCACTGTTCCTCTCTTTTTTTCTTTTCCTCTTTCTCTGCATCGCTCTTTCTTTTATTTTTATCTTTGTTTTCCTCGTTTTCTATCTGTCTTTAGTAATACAATCAGTAAATATACAGTTGACAGAGTTTGAACCCGTGTATGTCACAAGCCTCCGCCAGATCAGCTTGTATATATATATATACATATATATATATGTAACGATATATCCCACTCAATATAAAGTGTGTGGACAATGACACAGGATCACACATAGTCACTTGCTTAGCTAAACGAATTATGTGATTCAGTTCCTGAACCGATTATGTGCCTCTGTAACCCTTACCAACCACCTACGGGATGGGTATGGGGTGCATAAAAAAAGAAAGAATTGATTGATTGGATCACACACTCCATCATTGTCTCTTAAGACGGGGTAGAATTGAGTCGTTTAGAAGGTTGTTGTTGTTGTTAAAGATTTGCTACCTGGAACTAAAAGATCCAAGTAGCACGGGCTATGGAGAGCCCGTAGTTTTAGAAGGTATAGATCTAAACTATCATTACACGAAGTGACACATCAATTTATGGTTAACGATATTACACCAGAAATTCTTCCACAATATCTATACATATCCCTTCTGTGGGATAAAAATTTTGAGCTGTGTGGTCTAATCTCAGATCAAATGCTATGTTTCTTTGCGTGTAAATAGCAATAATATATAATATATAATATAAATATATAATATATAATAATATATAATAATATAAAAAAGCAATGAAAATAGCCTTTAATAATCTTTAATATCCAATGTTTCAAATTATGTAAAGTATTACTAAAAAAAACTTTACTCTCAATGTGTACTGTTGCATTGGTATACACAGCAGAGTAACCTGTGGTTTTGTTACCAGCAAAGTGGTTATAATACAGTTATTTTTAGTTATAATTATCTTTATGACATATTAGCAAAGGGTGCAGCATAATCGATGAGTAATCTCATATGTGAAAGATGAGTATGGGATGCAGAGTAAACTACCACTCATATGATGAGTGATGAGTATGATGTTCTTTGGGGTACACAAAGAATTATCAAACACATTAGATATATTAAAAAGATTTGTTTT